TCACTGTAAAAGTGTCGTTGGCGGCACATGCCTGGTTTATGATTATACTGGCAAGGAGCTTTCATATATATAACAGGCACTCCTGCGAAGCAGCAATTCTGTGTCGTTCACTTTGTGTGTCCATGCCCGCCTGCGCGTCGGCTCTTCACGTCCGTACAGATCAAAGGACTGGTTGTGGAGAACACGTTCACATCGATTAAAGACGCTGCATCTGACGCGTTTCCTAAGATGCGGCTTCTTACCTGGATGGTGGGATTGATTCAGGTTAGTGCGAGTGTCGTTTGTATTCTCTAGTACGCATTTTAGTGTAAAAAGTGTCTACGGGAGGTGTTGTTTTAGAAACAGCTTTAGAACGGTGGAATATTGAGCAGCGTTCTAAACCACACTGCAGACAGACAGTAATTATTGTAAAACAGGCTGATCTTCGAATGCCTTCTGCTCCAGTGGTGAGTGGATTTTCCGAGCTACATGTACTCTCGTTCTGTTGGTGGTGCTGAATGCATACCGTTTNCCAGTGGTGAGTGGATTTTCCGAGCTACATGTACTCTCGTTCTGTTGGTGGTGCTGAATGCATACCGTTTTCGCTCGGATTTTCGCCGGAAGGCATTGTAGCCTTCAGGCGAAAATCCGAGGGAAGACGGTAGGGGGGCGGACATTCATACATCCAGGGATGGAATGGAGTGTATGAAGGCACAGGGATGGTAGCAATCGCGTGCACTTTGATGCTGTGCATTCTTTCATCTCAGAGAACTACCATGTCAAACATTGATAAAGTTCGCACTCTAACAGTGCCAACTTTCTTTCTTTGCGGGAGGAATGACCGATCAATTCCTTCCCGGCACACAGACCGGCTTTTTGCAGTAAGAGGAGGCTCGTGCATCTGGAACGAAGGCGGGTCACTTACTGCTGCCTGGACCAGTGTTTTGCACCTCGGATGCACTTGTTGACACTTCTCTCTGGCCAGGAGATGCCGAAGAGAGCTCTCTGTGTTGAACGCTGCGGCAGTTGTTTTGTCTTCTTTCTATGAGCTTCTGAACTTCATTGGAGAGCCTCTGTTTCTTTTTTCATGCCATTCATGTNTTTGTCTTCTTTCTATGAGCTTCTGAACTTCATTGGAGAGCCTCTGTTTCTTTTTTCATGCCATTCATGTGATTAAATGTGCTGTGAGGTGCAGGCTTGCAGCGCTCCCATAAAAGTCCTGCACAGCGCGGAGTATGGAGGCCATCTTGACAGTCATGAAGCGGATGATCTTTACTTTGACAAGCTAAAAAATTTCATTGATGCAGCCAAAGCTGAGAGTAGTGAGTTTTCTACTGCAGACACGTTCAAGCATCCACCATCTCTGCTGGAAATTCGGAGCAGGATTTGTGAACTTTCGCTTCGCTGCCTGAGTCTCAATGAGCCACTTGGAGGCGTCTATCAACGCATTCGTAGATTTCACTCGGGTCTGCCATGTACAAGCACGATGTGTACGTGTCTGTGAACTCCGTATTGGTTGGATTCGCATTTTTCTGTACTTTTGAATGCTATTTCAAGGCGTGCTGTTTTTCTCGCTCCGCTAAATTATGCACAATCGGAGGAAGCAAGCTCGCTGCATTCGACACATTTGCGTTCTCTTCCACAGCAAACTGCTTGTGTGTGCAGATAGGCAATTGGATGCTGAATCTAGGGAATCCCTGGGTATGACCCTAGCAGAAAGGGATCAGGGAGGAGACAAGAAGTCTGTCGAGGCCCTGAAAACGCACGTGAATAGGGCTTTTCTGCTAGTGTTGTTGTGCACCACGGTGTACACAACCTTGGCCATAAGCCGGCATCCTAGAGGCAAGCGTCATACCACAGGGGTCTCCTCGCTACCAGCGGGGCTCGCTGAAGCAACGGAGCAGCTAGTGGACTATCCGCATATGGAAGAGCAGTCCTCGGGTGCCTTGAGGAACTGGGAATTTGTGGACGACGAACTTCCACTACACGGGCATCTCAATCGTGCAGAACCGGGAGAACTTGCTGAACTTACCGAGCCTGCAATGTTAGACAAATTGCACGCCTGAACATCGCCATGTCTAGGCTCATGATGACTCTCACAGCTCTCTAGTGGACGCCATACGCTTCCCAGCACATTGGTGCAGAGCTCACATCAGCGCCTGCTTTAACTCATGCGTAGTTCTTTGTTGTGAGGCTANCCAGCACATTGGTGCAGAGCTCACATCAGCGCCTGCTTTAACTCATGCGTAGTTCTTTGTTGTGAGGCTAGAGAACGCCTCTAGAGAAAAGCCTCTGGTGACTCACCAGAAAGATCCATGTGTGGCAGGTGTACTTGTTTTAGAGGCTGCAAGCTGAGGGGCTCGGCAAAACGTCAGCCTGGCCTGCGGGGGCTTTCCCAGAAAAATGGGTCTCCCTATCCCATCCAATGCCTTTCAGTGTTGTGCAGTCTGTCAAAAGTGACAGGAAATGAACATTCCTCCTACATTGGTTGGGAGGAGCATTTCAGCTCCGGTGTATAATATGGACCTGCAGGTACGCCTGCATGCAGTAGAGGTAGTGTGACTGATACTCTTCGCGCTTTGACTGTTTTGCAACTCGCGACAGTCCTCGGACAAGGTACAGGATTCGTACTACTGTACCCGCCAGTAAAAGCAGATGCACCAATCTTACTACCCTTAAGGCAGTCGCGAGCTGCAAGAGTTAAAGTACTTCAGAGTTTCCAGAAACCAGCTGGTCGCCTCTCCAGTCACCAGGTGACCTAGGACCGGCGGCCTACGGGGACTGGGACCTGGGGAGAGTTGGTGGCATGAGACGTGTTGCACCGTACCCCCTTGCAGCTCGTGCTGCAACACAACCCCATATGAATACACAACCAAACTCACTTTGCTGCATGTTTTCACACTATCGATACCTACATGACAACCAGAATCCAGCCTCCGCAAACGTAGAAATACACGGAAAAACTCCAGAGGGATCATGCTATAACACATCTGCCATCCACGTGCAGGGTCTAAACTAGCAACCGTGTCCGTGCCTTCCACGCGACCTGCGATCGAGTAAAAGCACTTACGGCCATAGTTTTCCAAAAAGTCTGTAGGCCTCCCTTCCTGTATTCAGCTCTACTAAGTAGAATGGGGCAGGCTTGGCGNTTTTCCAAAAAGTCTGTAGGCCTCCCTTCCTGTATTCAGCTCTACTAAGTAGAATGGGGCAGGCTTGGCGATGTTGTGGGAAGAGCAGGCGGCCTGTCATGATTAGCAGCTTCCGTCGCTGCAAATCCCGCTGTGATGCAGCCCCACAAGCAAGCATAATCAAGCCTCCTCTCGGTGCATGCACTTAACGCCTAGAGTACTGCTAAAAATTTACTTTAGCCTCAGCAACCAACTTGCACGCCAGTATATACCAATGAATCGGCATGACACAGGCTATGCTAGATACTCATTGCCAGTATGTCAAGGAATAGGCTGAACCAGTCCTGGAATCTAATCGCATGACTATTGCAACAAAAGTGTCCTCTCCGGCATTCGGTAATGCGTCGCGGAGAGGGTGTGCAGCGGCTCCTATGAACGCAATGATTGGATGTCTGAGCTGTGCCGTGCGCGTTAGTAATGGTATTCCTCTAAACCTTAATTTAACGGCCTCATTACTAATTACTACTCGATAAATTTTACATCGTGTTCGTGTTTTGTATGAGGAATTCGACGAAAGAAGGGAGAACCGTTACTTGCATCCAGCCCCAGTCATCGCGCGGCTGCGACAGCTGTTGTGAAACATTACGCAAACAGCTCGCCTCCCTATGCGGCCCCTGGGCGTTTTGAAACATTAAAAAGCACAGTTATGTCTTGGTAGTTGTACACTCATTGGAACTTCACTCGATACTTGCCATAGGCATAGCGTTCTGTGCCTACGCACTGCTATCCCGACATGCCCAGAAACAGTCCGACGTCGGGATGCAGTAGTCATTCTTTTGCTTGCCTTTCCGGAGCTCGCCTGTGAGGAAAATGGTGGTAATCAGCGCGTTTATCAGCAGCAGAGTCCGACCTCTCCTTGCGAGACAGTTCGTAGACATACGCCGAACGAAGGTGGAGGGTCTGCTCAATGCGTTTGTTAAACTTGTTGATTATTCGGGTATGCTGCGGCCACCGCACATCGACTAAACTACAGTAGTAGTGTATAGACGGCATATGGGGAGGGGCAAACCACGAATACAGTTGGAGATCGTCTGCAGGGAAGAGCCGTCAAACTTTACAGACGGGCAGGGCGGCCCCCCTTATTTGTTGTAACGGGTTGTAGATGCTCCCTGAACGGCCCTGCACCCGGTGATTATAACGACGTGTCTTGAAGCCAACAGTATATCTCAAAGAGATTCGTGAGAGGCGCTGCGTATGTGCTGACCAAACAGCGGGCAGTGTGTGTGTCTGTCTGCCTGCGGCTCTAGGCTCCGACCACACCTATCTCGAGACGGAGTCCGTACGGTATGTTTATCAGCCGGTGGAGAACCTTTATCTCGTCTTGATAACAACGAAGAGCAGCAACATCTTCGAAGACCTGGGCACTCTAAGGACGTTCGTCAGCATCGTTCAGGCAAGATGCACCTTACCAGCGGCACCTTTCCACATGTATCTGCGTTTTCTGTGGCTTCGGTAGCATTCTCTTTGGGTCAGATATAAGGAAACATCTATTTTGACATGCCTGCAATGATACGCGACAGAGCGCGGCTTTTCTGCCTTCTTTCCTAGGGGGGGCTCGCCCGTCGTGCAGATGTTCGCATGCTTGGTTTTTCATCCGCATATATTGCTGCGAATTATTCATCCCAGGTAAAACGTCAGCTGCATTTCCCCCAACAGATTTGGTTGGTGGATTGTGCCTACGATTCAGGAGACTTGTGGAGAGAGCCATGGAACTGGAAGTCTCGAAGAGAGCGTAGCATCTCACGCATTTGATATAGTATTCATGCTCGATGAGCTTATTAGCGGCGGATATAGGGAGGCGATTACGCTTCAGCAGATCCAGTCTTATGTTGCCATGGACTCTCACGAAGAAAAGCTACAGAGGATGATCGCCGAGGTAATGCGCGGATGCACCTGCATTGCCATTCCGCAGTTGCAGCCGCTGTAGTGGCGTGTGCATCCTACGACTTATTTNGCGGATGCACCTGCATTGCCATTCCGCAGTTGCAGCCGCTGTAGTGGCGTGTGCATCCTACGACTTATTTGCACCAAATTAGGACTGAATGAACTTAATCATGTGACCCCTGCAACACGTTTCCGTTCTCGGGGACGTGGGGCGATTTGTTCTGATTAGCGTTTATTAGAGTTTATTCCGGTGCGTTCATGTTGGTACAAGGGGCCGTACCCATGGTTCATGAAATGCATCAATCGTAGGGGACTGTAGGCGTGTATCAGACAGAACATGGATCGTCCAAAGGGGGTTGCATTGGCGGTGCAGTGCAGACTTGTTCATGCCGCAGGGGAAGGAGAAGGAACAGGCAGACAGACGGCGGGAAATCGCCCAAAGACTCGAGAAGGAGAAACAGGCAGCGAGAAAGGCAGGAAAGGGATTGGATATTAGTGCTTTTCGCGGTACCGCCGGAATACCGCAGCTTTCGCGGGGGCCTCCCGCCGTATCTGCTTCACAAGGGCCCCCTCCTAGTGAACCTTATTGGGGATCTTCGAGTCCCAGTGGCGGCACTTATGATGCACGCCACCAGCCGTCCCCATCAGTCACTCCAGGGGGCACGAGAGGCAGCCAACAGCCAAAAGGCATGCAGCTTGGGTTTAAGATGCCAGCGGGGGGTGTCGATAGCTCGTTGCAGAACCTCGTGCCGGATGAGCAGGTTAAACCCACCGGTGAATACGCCGAAGCTCAGCATGACCAAGGTAGGATGTCAGTAGTCATGTAGCTGCATCAACACCTTTCGCTGAATCTTGGGCCCATCTAGGTGCTTGCGTTATCAGAACATATCTACACGTGACTGCAATTAGTACTTAACTCTATCAATCCATTTATATCTATGCTCGCGTTTCCAGTTCAAACCATAGGCTCTTCTAGGAATGCCTGGTTGTTCCTTAGTTGCTATAGTACATTGCGAATTGGGTGTTTGCATACAGTTTTAAACAACCCGCTTGCGGACCCCGTAAGCATTCTCATTGAGGAAAAGGTTAAGGCATCTTTGCAAGCAGAAGGAGGTGAGTGCAGCTTTAGGCCCTGGTCCCCGATGCTTCCTTAGCTGCATGCTTCTGTGTTAATTCAACTTCATGTGGTTATCTTCTGTCTCTGCAGTCCTGAAGGAGGTGGAGCTTCAAGGTACCTTCTTCGTTACTGCGAATGATCCACAGCGAGGGTCTCTCGCAGCATTCCAGGTAGGTGAACGTCTTGTTCTCTCGCGCGTATTCGAAGTTTACGCCGAGTTGCACGAACGAATAGTAGGTTGAGCATCCACCTTACGTGGTGCGTAGCGAATAAATCGACGACGCATGTTGCGGCATTTTGTCTCAGCTAACCCCGGAGGACAAGAGATTTAAGATGAAGAGTCACCCAAATGTTGACAAGATGGCTCTTTCNCTCAGCTAACCCCGGAGGACAAGAGATTTAAGATGAAGAGTCACCCAAATGTTGACAAGATGGCTCTTTCGCAAAGCAACCTGCTGCAAGTCCGAGATCCGTCAAGGCCGCTGCCTCCTCATCAGCCAGCACCCCTACTCAAGTGGAGAGTCAGCGAAAAAGATGAGGTGGGAGGATGCGCATATGCGTTCGCTACCATAGATTCCAGCTTAGCAGAGCGACAACTCATCATTCAGCGTGAGCTTCTGTGAAATTTCATGCAGAGCTTGGTGCCGCTGACAGTGAGCTGCTGGCCATCTTCGACGCCCACAGGCACTGTGCTGACTGTTGAACTGGAGGTTACAGACACGTCGAAGCGCCTGGAAGACGTTCGTGTATCTTTCATGTGTCCAGCACAGGCAAACCCTCAGGTCAGCTTGTCCTAACCGTTGTCAGATCTACGTTGACCTGCTTACTCAGGTGTCATTGCAGGTTGTTGTGAAGTTTAACCTATTCTTTGCGCTTCCTCTATGGAACGTTAAGT